TCACAAAAAAAAAAGACCAGATTTACTGGCCTAAAGGAGAATGGAGAAATCCCGAGAGTATGACCCCCAGATGCCCTTTTAGCTTAGTGGTGAAGTCACTTCCGAGGTTCACCGCTGAGCCAGGGAGTGGACAGCCCCATAAAACCAAATGGGACTAATGAGGCACAGCAGTCCAGGGACAAGGACTAGAAGGCAGAAGGGGACAGGAAAGCTTGTGGTAGGGAACTCAAGTTTGAGTAAGGATAGTGTTGATGTGTTGTGAGGCTGTTAACCATTGTCATAGGGCAACATGTGTACTGTTTTATGAGAGACTATTTTGTTCTGTAAACCATCTAAAGTGAGAAAAGCAGCACAATTGGAAGAGCATAGTCAATGTCACTGAACTCTGCATGTAGAAATTTTTGAAATGGTGTATCTTTGGCTATGTTTATTTTCACCGAAAAAAAAAAAAAAAAGGTCAAGAAGGGAGAGGGTTGACATGGCATGGGGTTGTTAACCAATGTCATAAAACAATATGTGTACTACTGTTTCATGAGAAGCTATTTGTTCTGTAAGCCTTCACCTGAAGTACAATAAAAAATAAAAAATAAAAAAGTGATTTTCCTTAAGTCATTGAAGAATCTACCTTGACACCAAATTTAACTAGAAAGGAATTCCAGTATTTGCTGAAGGCCAATGCTACTTTAAATGCTGGAAGCAAAGGGTATTTATGCTGCATTTCCCTAAGAGGTCACAATCTAGTCAAGAAGAGAGACAGGTGTCCAAGGTCAGGGCAGAGAGCTTTGGAAACAACTTACTAGATGGTGGGGTAGATGACTTCTCTGAGTTGGCTAGAGGAAAATGGCTTATCAAAAGTCTTTTTTTGTCCATTTAGGTGATTCTAGAAAATTGAGTAGTCTTTATCTTGGACCCATTTTGTGGACATTGGTGGTCAGAAGATATAGTAACCCGCAAAAACCAAACCAAACGCATTGTTGTCGAGTTGATTCCGACTCATAGCGACCCTGTAGGACAGAGTAGAATTGCCCCATAGGGTTTCTAAGGAGCGTCTGGTGGACTTGAACTGCCAGCCTTTTCGTTAGCAGGTGAGCTCTTAACCACGGCACCACCAGGGCTCCATAGTGACACACAACCTCCTATTACCCTGAATTCCATCCCCTGGCCTATGGTAAGACACTCCCAGTTCCAGGCCTTTTCTCCTCCTGGCCCGCTCCATGCTCAGGAAGTAGGGAATTTGAAGAGTAGGTTTAGCTTCCAGAGAACCCATGGGACAGTCACAGCTTATGACCAGGACTCATATCTTTATTGTGTAGAGAGTCAAGAGTTAACAAATACTTAGAGTATGACTCTTCTTTTGCAGGTTAAATTAATCATAGCAACATTCTTTAGAATATTTCACATATCCACAGGCTGATATTTGCTTTCTTTTGATCCTGTTCCCTCCTGTGCAGTCGTAGTGTCTTATTCAGGCCTTTGGCTATCCCTTATCTACAAGAGCTTTTAAAAAGTTACGTGATCTTTCTAGAGTAAGCTCTTTATCCGGACACTCCTTGCTCAGAAGACTTCAGTGGTTGCCCATTGTTTAGGGAATAAAGTCCCAACTCTTCAGAAGCCTAGTTTTCTGTCATTATATTAGTGTGTTCCTATGATGAAGCAGCATCTATTTCAGTAGCAGCTTCAGATACACTTGCTTGGTAGTGAGATTCCAGAGTCACTCTTGCCAATGGCAGGAGTTCTATCACTTAAAAATATTTCCTCAGAGAAATAACAAGAGCAACTCAATCTACTGACTTTACTCATATGACTACAACTCTTTTGATGCTCTGACATTTTCATAATTTATTTTGCTACTAGCAGTTCAAAGTATTGATGCATGTAACCTTGTTGCTGGCCATGTTAAGTTTTAAGCATCATTAAATGGATTGCTTAAGTTACTTTGCTAGGCACACCACTATTTTAAATGTGAATTGATGTACTTGGTGCTACAAGACAGATGGTGCATTACTTCTGTCTAAGAGAATTTGGCAGTGCTGAAACTGAGCCTTCTGTTCAGTCGCAAATAATTCAGTGATGAGTGGGCAACTTTGAACATTTTTGCTTTTTTTGCACACATACTCGATTTGAGTATTTGCAAGTGTTTTAGTTTGCATATTAACTATATGTAAGCTGTAAGCGCCTTCAATAAAATGACACTACTGGCATAGGCAAGTACGTAATCAGTGCATAAGCACTATATTGGTTTGGCATATGGCACCACTTGTTTTTGTTTTCATTATAGTGATATGCTTCACTAAATGAACCAATAGGCAAATGTTGGTTAGCTCTAAAGGAAGGCTTTTCAAATGGAGTTGAAGTGAGTTCAAAGGAGCAGAGGCCTTTAAATCTTATGCTGGTCATCCTGCCTCTGTTTAATTTTATTCCCCTGGTTAACACCTCTTCTTAGGCACCTTGCTAAGATGGCATTTTCTTATTTAAGTCCTGATTGGAAGATTGTGATGAATAGCACCTCTGAAGTCTTACATTTTGCTACCTAAAATTAGAAATTGTTTTGTATTCTCTTTGACTGTCAACTTGGCAGAACCTTCTAAGTGATTATCTAGAAATGTATTTTTTTCTTCATGTATTTTCAACGTAGGATTTATGTAACTCTGAGTTTATGATTTGGAGAAAACGGTGTTAAATATAAGGTGCCAAGAGCCCAAAAGAAGAACACTCCTGTGGGGATCTCTGAAGAGAAACGGCAGAAGCACCCCCATTCTGCACTCTGGGTTGTGGGTTATTGTGATGGTTGATTTAGGAAAGGGTATTATAATGTGGAGGAAGCATCCAGCCCATTTAAGCTTTGGAAGAAGGTTTACTCCTTTGAGCTTGGGTTAAAAATATATTGCCTACTCTTGTAATGCTGGAAGATAAAAAGATCAATAAAGTTTCCTCAGATTTTGTAAGCCAGACTTGTCTTTATTTTCTCTTCACCTCCAGGGAGACCAAGACTGCAAAAGGTGGTGGATTCTGGTGGCGGGCATATTATCTACAAGTATTTTAATGTTCCTGTGAATTCTTTTTCTGAGATTAAATATATTGTTCACAGGTACTCTGACCAAATCTCTAGATTCATTTCCTATAGCATATTCATGTACTGAACTTTTTTATTTTTTATTGTACTTCAGGTGAAGGTTTACAGAACAAATAGTTTCTCATGAAACGGTAGTACACCGTATTGTTTTATGACATTGGTTAACAACCCCATGCCATGTCAACCCTCTCCCTTCTCGACCTTTTTTTTTTTTTTTTTTT